TCGTCGCTCCCTGAGGTTCATTTTGATGAAAAAGAGACACAGAAAGTTATGTAAAACCAGTGATTGATTTGCAAAGCTTCCGTTCAACGAGGTTAATCCTGCTGTGTAACGAAAATAAGAAATAGCAAATGTCGAAAGTGTTTTATTTCGATTAAAAACTATTGGTTATATCATCGTTCTTATGGAACAGAGAAATTGCAGTGGCGGTGCGACTATTTTTATCTCGTGGAAAGACGCCAAAATCTTCTATCCACAGATACATTTCCTTGACCCGATACGAAGGCGTTGCTTGTCATTCTGCATTCGCATCGAACCATCTTAATTCGACGTCGAGCCTAACGGTCGATCAGAGTTATCTGGCACGCGGGAACTCGGCGAAATACGTTCGAGACAAGAGAGCACATTTAGATCGATAACTTGAGCCGACGTTACCGCGACGTATGGCATTGTGCCAGATTCGGTCACTTCTGTTTTGTTGCAGTTTTTAGCCCTGCCCGCGCAGACACACGTATAGCCCACCCCACGGTCCTTTTTCCCTTCCCAGGACGTCCTTTGAGCGACACGCGCCAGCGGCTATTTTTGCGGGTCAACCCTGAATCGAACGGGTGACGAAGCACCTGTCGTCGTCACGGAGAAACCCGTTTTATCAGAGACCCTCGCGAAAGCCTTCCCATTGAATTTCCATCGCTCGAAATTCCTCCATCCCGCAAGACCCTTGTGAACTTCGGGTCAGCGACGAACGTTTCGCCCGAAACACGAGACGCTCGATGGTCAGGGAGATACGACTTATCCGCTGACCGAACTTCTTTTTCATTTCGAGCTCACTGGTCATATACGATCATTCCAGCGATCGATCAATCTTCCTTGTTTATACGACAGATAACTACGTCCTGTTGAAAAATGCATCCGTATATTTGTACGTATTAAAGTCCATTACGCGATTGTACGTCTCGGTGAGAAATTCTACGAGAGCATTCTTCGGATGAAAGGAACTACTTACTCTTCATTAAATGTCGCGCTAACGTATCAGTAAATAGCAATCGCGAAGAGTACTCGCGCGACGGGAAGAAACCGGACACCTAGCCGAGAGAGAACGCAGTGAAAAAGATACCCGGCACCCTAGGGCACACGTATGCATGTATACTTGATGAACTAGACCGCCACTTATTCATATTCATCGCGTGTCCCCAGTTTACACGAACCATAAACCAGCACCGAGGTTTTAACTGTCGACCCTCCGCTATATTTTAACAGCGGTACGGAGTTTAAGTGAAAAAGGTCGATGCATGGTCAGACGCGCGTGAATGCGAGGCTTAGTTATTGTTCTGGCGCAGTAATTAAAATTTCGATTGTTTCACGGCAATTCTACATATTCTCGTAGTATTATTTAACGAGACTAATCATTTCAAAATTCGACAGAATTTAAATTTTCACTCTCGACGAACCACTAGAAAAAGTCCAAAAGTGCCGACTCTCGCATTGGGTTTTATGGAAAAAAACGTTTACTAGGACAGACGCACGTTGAACCTGGGTGATGTATGGTCGAACGGTCGTCGGTTCGACGTAAATCATCGACGAGCCACGCGGTGCCATGAGAGTACGAGCGTCGACCGAACTATCGTCGAGTATCGATCGCAATTATCCGGTAATAATACCGTGCGCCGCGGTCAATTTCGCTTCCCCTGTTGTTTCATACGTTCCTGCGCCGTGATAAGACCCTCGATAAGCGAATGAGAACACGTCGTCTTTTTCTAATCTAACGGAAGACTTTATTGGTCCACGCGGTGACCAAGGGGGGAGGGGTGGACGTTATCGAGAAGCCAGATAACTGTCCTCGGAAGGGGTTCTCGCCGAGAGCAGGCGGGGTGGCCAGTTGAAGGCGGCGCGGCGCGGCTAACGGTGTTTAAGGGTTGCGTGCGGCGCCAGGGGTGAAACGGCGCCAAGACGTCTAAGCGCCAACGGGACGAGCGTTTCCAAAGTATGCGTGCGGCTTCGATCGGCGTGACTCGTCGGGCTGCACGGTTGAACGTTGCGAAAGGGGGGGAAAAAAATAGGAATAAGCATTCTTTTGTGAGGGCAATCTACGTAACCATTCGGGGGCTAGGAACCGTCCCCGGGAAATGCGAGAGCCGAGCGAGAAAAGGGCGGAAAGGGCAATTGCCCTCGAACGAGATTGTTCGTAGCTTGTTCGACGAAAATGAACGGGGGGAACGCCGAGGAGTGGTTGGGTCGGGCAAAAAAGAGCGGAACCTCTTGTTCTTCGATTCTCTCCTCCCTCATGTCCTCGTTCATTTTTTCGTTCACTCCGTCGTTTCGTTACGTCGAGTCTCGTGATTTTCGTTTCTTCGTAAATAAAATTTGCCATTCCCCACTTCACGGAACGCCTGACAGAATTCGTATAAATTTATTTTTCGAATACCTTGCCGCTCGCTCGAGAGACACTCGCGACTCTTGAAGTCAGTCGAGCGGTGCAACGACGGCGCGACGCGACGATCGCTGGGATCGATCCCGTTCGTGGAATGGAAATTCAACGACGCGATGCGACGCGACGGGACGAAAAGGCAACGTCAGGCACCATTAACCGAAAAAAATCTTGACCTTTTCGATAGGGTCGGTACCATTTTCGGTGCGCCGCCCGTAAAGCTTAACGGCTGCTTTTAAAATTACCCCGGCCTTTTTTCGCTATAACGAGACACGGTGCTTGGCTCTTCGCACCTCGTTCCCTATGGTCTCCCGTATGAAAGACATTTGAGACCGTAACTCCATTGTTATGGAGGTTGGAGGGAAAACCGTCGGGCCAGAAGCTGCAGTGGTAAAGTGGCGGGCAGCATCGACAGCCGGCCCGGGAGTATAATCGCAAGACTGGGCTCGAATAAACCTTGAATTCCGTGAAAGGGTGACCATGAGGCGAGAATCACTTTATTTTTCATGAAGCATCTTAGCGCGGTGAATCGTGAACAGGAAGAATGGATCGTTCCACTAGAAAAGGATTTCTCCGGTGTTATTTTCGATTATGTACCGTGAAATACAACACCTCTGGAGAATAATTCCGGTACACCGTCCCAAGCAGAATACGAGCAGCGTTTATTCTTCTCCGCTCTTTATATTTTTAATTAACGAGTTCCTTGTAAATTGCTGGAGTCGTAGCCGAAGATCGAACCTTCGAATATTTAAATTATCATCGATCATTCCGCAAGGAAATTGGTTTGCCTTTCACCGCCCCGTTAAAAAATGTCTGCCGTACTCGCCCCTAGGAATACTCGAGTCGGCCAATCGCCTTCGGTACTTATGAGATACGTGACCCCCGCAATTCCGAATAGCGAAAGACCGTGGTAGAAGAGGTTGCCCGCGTCCATGAAAGTTAATATTCCGTAGAAAGGACTTACGTAAGGACCACGATGGAGACAGGCAGAGAGAGAGAGAAAGGCTGGCACAGAGGAGGGTGTCGAGGTGAAGAGGCCAGAGAAAAGAAAGGAGAGGGAAAGAGAAAAAAAGAGAGGTGCTCTCTCGCCGATGGTAAAGAGGCCCCTTCACCCCCTAGACTTCACCTAGACTTGGCCGAGGAATCGATAGGGTGACTCATCGAGGGGCGGTGACGGAGTTCTCTCCCTCTCTTTTACCCCGTGTCCTCCTTGTTCGGTCTTCCCACGCCCTTCTCGTTCCCTTACCACCGTCTTGCTTCCGGTTCTAACGCCGAAAGCGTGTCCAAACTTTCAAACTCTCGTATAAGGCTCCGAGTTCCGTTTCTCCTTACCCCGTTCAGACATCGCTCTTCTTCCTCGACAACGGCCCGGCGCGGCGGGGCGAAATAACGAAATGCACTACTGTTCGCGAGGTGCCTCGAACCGGTACTCGTCGTTTTCGCGGAATTCGCTGAATCGGCTTGAAAAGTTGCAAAAAGAATGGTTCCACGGTTCGCCGTTTCCTCGCTCGCTGCGTGTCGTTCACTCCGCAGTGCAGATTCGTATTCAACTTTGGGACGCGCTCGAATCGGTGAATTTAGCTACGTTCGAACAATTTTCCCTACTTTTCTTGTTACTCTTTACTCAACGGAAGAGGCCGCCATAAGTGTAAAATTCCAAGAATAGAATCCGTCCGATTCTCTTCGCCGTCGAATGGACGACACGACGACGGGAAACTTTTTCTTCACGAAATAACGAGATCCGTTCAGGAAGTAGCGCAGCAGCTGGACGCTCCCGCGACTGCAATCGTAACCTCCCTGGCCATACCTATAACGAGCATGCGGCAAGACGACCGCGTTGCCAGCCAATTTGTCGCACACGAAGAATCCACCCTCCTCTTGCTGAGTCATCCACCGTCCCCTTTGAATTAACGAAATCTTTCGAGCCTCTTCGTTATAGCCTCACCTACAGATTACGTATCTCCATTCGATCTTCAAATATTAGCTGTCCTTGGATCGTCGGAAGTAGTCATTATCTCTTAATAAATTTAACATTTTTATACGTCCATCCCTTAAATCTTCAGATACAGTAATTACCTGCCAAGATTGCGAGCTGATTACACGTCTAGAACACTCGCCAAAAAATTAATGGAGATTCTGAAGAATCTTCTTAACTTCCTCCTGTTGTCGACGGGTCCGTCACCGGGTAAACTTGAGAAGGAATCGGGGAACTGTTCGTTTTAATCTGAAACTTCCAGGCGTCTCCTTCGCAGTTACTCAACGTTTCTTTTCCGACGAAGTAATGAGATGTATTTCCCCCTAGCAAAACATACTTTAGCTACTTCTAACAAGCACACGCGACCACGCGGCCAATTTGTCGTCCCTGACCACCAGGGATGGATCGGCCCCTTCGCTGAATCATTCCCCTCGGGTCGTTGAACTTTCCTCGAATTCCGAGATAATTGCAAGCTTCGATCTTCTCGATGAATTAATAAGTGTTCGCGTAACCGTGTTTCTACGAACTGGCAATTGAATCGATTATTGTTTGTTCGATCTAAAATCTAAAGCTGGGAGATTTGTGATGAATTTGGGTGAAAGACAGACAACCGATTACGCTTTTGTTCGCGATGAGACGGTAGCCAGAATCGATGGTCGGTGAAAAGTATCGAGGGCATGCGTTGAATCAGCCGAAAGGGGAAACGTCAAAGGGAAACGAGTTTACGTTCGGGTAATTCGATCGGCTAATTACCTCTTCTCTCGGTCGGTCGTATTGTTCCCTCGTGACTAACGCAAAAAGTACATCAGACGAAAATCAGTGAAACGACCGTGTCCTTTCATTACTCGACTGCTTTGTGATCGCGCTTTTCGCACTCCTCGTCGTTCCACTCTCCTGTACACGCTTACGTCGTCGATCGTCCGTAACGTGATTCGGTCCGCGAACAGTATTAATAATCGTAGGAGTGGTTCATTTTTTACGAACGACTAGAGTCAAACTCGAATCGCTTCGTTTTGACCGAAAGATGATTCGGCTTCTCGAAGCTCGGGACTCAAAGCTCGCGGTGGAATCAATACCAGGGAAGAGGAGCGAGATAGGTAGACTACGGAAGAGATAGGAGTGTCAAGGATAGAAGAAAAGGAAGGAAGGAAGGAAGGGACAAAGGAGGCCAAGGAGATTCGTCTTAGACACCCCACCCACACATTCACGATTCCGTACAGACACAGACAGACATATACATTGCTTGACGCTGTTCTCCATGTCCCACACGAACGTGCGTTTCTTTCGCGCGCGTACGTACACACACGACGGAGGCTTCTCGTTTCACGGTTATTCGCCGAGATTTTTTTTAACAATATGACCGGCGTCGCGTCGTCATGGACGCATTCTGTCGATTTCTATACAACGTTCTTCTAGCGACTGTCGTCTTGCTAAGGAGCATCAGTGAGTAAGCGCTAAGTCGTGCTACATTTAATAGTAATCATCGTAATCGTCGATGTACTCTCTTTGCCTGTCTCTACTTTCTTGCTTCGATTCTGCCACGCTTTTCAACCTCCATAGACGGTCGACCGGTCAATATTTTTAATCCTCTTGCTATTTGTCGAGGAGGCGAGTCCGCCTCGCGGAGAATTCTCAAGTGTATCTCGACGATTGATCCCCAGCGCCGTTCGTCACGTCTCGTATTTACCTGCTCGATCGAGTCTCTCGATTTCCTTTCATTAATTTATTTTCGGTACGCCTAGGAGAATCGCAATGCTTATCGCAACAACGAGCACTACTTTCCTACGAGCAGGCACTAGCTACAAACATCGATCGCCAGTTATTTCTTCGCAGCCTTCCGTCACGTATTTCGTAAAACACAGTTCTCTCTCTCTTTCTCTTTCTCTCTCTTTTTCTTCGCTTCGGCCTTGTGTATTGTGGTACTTAACACGCTTCCGTCAACACCCTTGGTTACATTTACAGCAGACTGTTACGAAAGTGAACCTTGACCTCCGCTTCGCGTAATCTTTCAATAGGCTCTGTTTGTCTGGCACCACCGAAATATCGCATGTCACGTGAAAGTAATTTAATGAAACGGTAGAATGTCATTGCGAAAGGTATACCTTCCTCGCTTACTAACTTCAAACACTCCATTTACCATGAAAACTTAACATCAACGTTGCTACATGTCGACGTTTGTAAAAACGAATCTGTGTCTTTGTATGTTTCCAGAGAACGGACTTCTCTCCTTCGAGAATCCCAACTACCATTTGGATCCAGCTCGTCTGGACGATGCTCTGAACAGCAACGAGAACGGCAGCTCCCTGTACGATGAATTGTACCAGGAATTGGTCGGGAACGGTGGCAGAAGTGGCGAAGTAACAGGCGGCGGGGGTGGCGGTGTCACGAGGGTGCAAGCGCGCAGGACGTACGCCACTTTGGATTTGGGCAGCATGGGGGTTGACGTCACCCAAGGTCCTCTCACGCGAGACGCCGTGACAGAGGATGCGCCGGACAACACTGACAACCATAACCTGGGGTGAGTTCACTGTCATTTCCGCGGACGTTAAACGCGTCACGTTGCCATCTCGCGCGTTAACACGATTACGATAATATCGTAATTAATTGAGTGCACGTTTGAGTGAAATAAAGTTCGTTCTGTAATATCTTATCCTATAAGATTAGACACAATTATTTTACCAGAAAGAGAATGTACGTGTATATATTTTTTCCGAAGTGGTCTCATTTTCGACTCTCGTAATACACAGAAACGAGACACAGTAATCCTCAAATTATTGACTTAGAGGTCTGAAGATTACGATAATACGCTATCTATATTCGTCCCTACGGCTGTTCCCTATTTCTACCTGTAATATCTATACGCTTTTGTTTTTAAACATAAGCCAAGTTCCTCGTGATGGCTCACCGAATTTCCTCTATCCGTGATATTACCTGGTTCCCTGTCGTCTTCGGCATAAACGCGAAATCGGCTCCCAGAAGTGAGAAATCGAAGAAACCAACTTGGAAAGGTTCCTCTTGGTCATTCTCCCGTAATATAGGGTTCGACGAGGGCCGGAGCCCTTGATAAAAGTTCCGAGTCGGACCTCACCGGGCTACCGCATAAAATTTCAATAAATCCGGACCCGTGAAAGGGTCTCTCGGACAGAGGGAACGAATGGCTCGATGCTACAAGCTAGTTCGAACTTATTTCCGACTGGTAACACGGATACGGGGAGAGCGCGCGTTATTTGTTCGATTGCTGGAAATTCTCCTCTTCCAATTCCGACATTCTCATCGAACTTCCTTCTGTCTTGCTAGCCTGTTACCGGGCTCTGATAAACGCTCGAAACCACCTTAAAGGGAATCACCTTTCCTTCCTCGGTCCTTTTTTTCTTTCGACGTGACCGAAACCGTGAAACGAGACGAGATATCGATTCGACTTCGATGCTTCATTCAATCGAAACGATATCATTTAGAACCGTGCCGAATTAAGACTTTTTCCTCGGGTCTATAGGGCGGAAAAGAGCATGAATCGAACGAAGTAACTTCGACGATTTCAAGTTATTCGAACACGGAGACTGTTACACGGACTCTCCTTCTTCTCCCCCCCCGTCCTCACCCGCGTTCGTGTTCGCGATTGTTCAACGGGCCGGAATTCTCCGCGTTCTCCTAAGTTCCTCCGTCTCGAGGACCTTTTGTCGACGATGTTTGGAATTACCCAAGTCTCGCTGTGGCTCGTTAATCTTGCGAACGAGGTCCCCGTGAACTCTCGATCGAGTCCACTTTTCCTTCGATATCGAAATTAGATCGGAGGCCTCTTTCCGGTTCCATAATCGGTCCCCATTGTTCCGTTCGCTCCGTCGCCGTTCCTATCGATAATTCACCTCTAATAATCAATCGGAACCATGTTTCATTTCGGAACGAACACCGTTCTTCTTTTCCTCTGATCAACGACGGACTTGCTGAATTCCCGACGGATAATTATTCGAAACGAAACAGAGTTTGACGAGCAAAAAATCGTGGCCATCGGTCTTCGGGATAGCCGCGTTCGATCGAAAGAGGTACACGTTAATGGATGAGCCGCGGTGCCGTGAACTCCTTCCCAGCTGGGATAATAAACTGCTCTCTTTTCGCCGGTCCCGTCCCGTTTCGTCCAAACCTCTTTTTCCACCGACGGCGCGGCGCGTCGCGTCGCGTCGTCTTTTTTCCGACGGTCGGAAATCCGGGCGAGCATAAAAATGCAATTAAGGAAACGGCCGGCGTCTGGCATACCTCTCTTCCCCCTTTCTCATCGTGAAAGGTGGCTTCTTCTTGCTCATCCTCCCGCTCCACCCTTCATTACCTTCTCCTTTTCTTCTTCGCCCTGTCCCCTGCTTTGAACTTGCCTAAAATTCAGTCCCGTTCAGGTTGGTTGAATAGCCGCAGGCTTCCGGGAACGGAACAGGCAGAAACGTAGCTATCGCGATGCTGCAGGAGGATTGAGCAATTAGAAAGTTCCGCCGTTGAAAGGGTTCAATAGACGATCGACCAGAGCAAATTCTTAATCACCCGCTAGTATTTTAATACCACGTCTTTTTAACTAAGATCCTTTTTTAATCATGATCTCGGGATTCGGTGTAAATAAACGACTGCGAGGAATTCAGGAAAGATGAACTCAGTTGCCAAGATGAATTATTATTTTTTGATACTTTACCTCAATACGTAAATATTTAGTAGACCAGTGTATACAATCTGGTGCATAATTTTGTTTGTCTGTTTAATATTGTACAACGGTAAATGATAATGAGGAATGCCACGCTTGAAAGTGTTAAAACGATAAACGAATACGGTTGTTAGCGAACTAACATTGTCAGTTTACCCGCTTGGCGACAAACTCGAGAGACAGGGAGTTCCATATTGATCCGTCTGAATAGCCCGAAACTGTAAAGGCAAACAATTCTCGTGTACCGGAGTTCGGATCCACGAGCCCGTCGCGTCGCCCAGACATGGTACAGTAAGGTAATGAAGCCATCAACGAACGACAATCCGTCGTGGCTGATCGAATTTTCCAGTCGAAGCAGAGTGGAAAAGCGAATTTCCCTGCCTGTAGGCCGACGCGCCGCTTTCATCGCGCGGTTCAACGTTAACTTCGTTTGCACTGATGCGCCCGAAACGTACGTTACGTTGTTAAGCACTTGACGTGCCCGAATAATTCCGTGCATCCGAGAGGTGGCTGCGTCGACGTTGCGCCGCGTCGTCGCCCCGCGTCTCGCCAGGAAATCGGTAACCCGATAACGTACTTGATTATATGACAACCGGTCGCGGTAATTGTCGTTCGTGTAGTCTTTTAAGGCTAGCTAATCTCGTCTGGTCCAACGCGAAACGAAGTTAAAATAGTAGCTCGGAGGTTTCGATTTAACGCGCATAAAATCTCTTTCGCTGTAACAGAGCGATGTCAAAATCAGAAAGAATGAAGTATATCGGGAAATTGTCCAATCGGTTTTCCCGGAAGTTCCAGCGATCCATATAATTTTATTGCCACCTCTCGATGACGAGTACGGAGTTGGAAAGCTGCACGATGCGTGCCGTTTCGTAACTTCTAAGCGAAAAACTCGTCGGTGATCGCGATTGCGAAAGTTCTCTCAGGGGTAGGAAAGTTTGCCACGGTGTCCGGTACCCGAGTAGAATCTGGTAACATTCATCGGGCAAAAATGTGTTAGACGAGAGTCCGTGCAATTTCGAGGGTCAGCCACTTTGTCAACGGGCGAGAAGAAAAGGACCGAGGTCCGTCGGAGCACCAATGGTGGAGTGAGATGGAAACTGGACTCGACGACGGACGGCTCCGGGCTCGATATGTCTCGATATTTCGTCCTGCCCTCCCGGGGCTGGATATTAGACGATAAGCTTGGAAAGTAGAAGGAGAGCGTAGGCACGCGAGGACCGCACAGCTCAGAGATTGGACTCAATCTAAAGTTGCGACAAACTTGGCTCGTACCAGCTATCCACCTATCTCTCATACTTCTGTCTACGACCCTTAACCCTGTTCCGCTTTGACGGACCGAGTGGCGAACGGGAGAGCACTGGAAGGGAGTTAGATGGCAGTCAGCGAGTTGGTTACATTCTTCTCGCCAGGTAGAAGGATGTTTCCGCGGGCTCTTTGATACGCAGGGAAGAAGAGAGGGATTCAAAGGATTCAAATTCGAGGCGAGGACCAGGGGAAACTGAAGGGGTCAGAGAACCTCTTTGCGTCGGATTTCTCTGGCAAATACGAAAGCTACATGTTTTACGGTGCGACGAGACGAGCTGCAACGATCAAAGTAGAAATCAAGGGTCCAAAGTTGAAAGACTCGGTATCAATTAACGATCCTCCGTCTTTGGCGTCCGTCTTACCGGCGGCTCTTTAACGAGCTCGTTTTTCCCTCGTGGTAAAGAGAAAATTCCGAAGAAACGCGGAGACAGAGAGAGAGAGAGAGAGAGAGAGAGAGAGAGGTATCCATGAAATTGGAGGCAGCAGAGGCGGATGCCGAAAGCGGAGTAAATCGCGTTTGGACGCTGACGAGCTCTGGCGGAAAGCGGAAATTTCCAACCGAACGGAAGGAAAGAGCCGATAGCGCATTGGGAACAGGGTTACCGAGACTGGACGTGCGCGGCCATTCAGGATTATATATTTCCCGAAAGCGTGGCAGGTGCTGCGCCGTGCCACGATGGAGAAGAACGAGGCCATCCCTCCCGCGCTTAATATATCTGCATTATTCTTCGTCCAGCGAAAACTGGCTTTTGGCTCCACAATATCTCTCGTTTCTACGCGCAGCGATAAGGACGAACCAGACAGAGGTAGATTAATGCAATCCGCATCAATCTCCATCGAGGTTGAAGGGCTGTCGTCCCTCCAGGAAACCATCAACAACACCATTCACATTCACTTACCCCCGTTCGCCGTTATTATGCATCGTTTTGCTCGTGCTCTTCACGCCAATCGTCTCGTCGTCGACAAACCTAATCTTTCATTCCGAACAGCAAATGATTATTTCATATCAAGCGTCCAAATTTGTGTCGCATTATAATTTCGTCGATAGAAAGTAGATCGTCCATAAAGGCTGCCAGGTAATCTCAGTATTTTCGTATGCCATTAATTTCGTGATTGCGAGGGATCGCGACGGACTATCACGGCAGCGTTTCATTTTTATTATCGTTCTTCGGTTATTGTGCGGTAGCGTGTACGTGCCGCGATAGGTAACTACGGTCGACGGGCGCTTTTCAACGATAAACACACGGCGCGGCGCAGTGGCAGGGTTGAATACACGCGCATAATCGCGACTGGGTGCACAAAGCGACGCCCCGTAACGGGTATACGTATCCCTGTATCCTGATAAAGTTCCCTCCGCGGACCTCCGGACCCATTCAGGAAGCGTAAACCCATAAGGAACGACAATCACGGCCATTCGTAGCCGGCTGCGAATTGCGGGTCACCGTGTATAATGTCAGCCCACGCCGGAAGAGAGAGCGACTCTTAAGCCATAAGTTTCCTCCATCGACTCGTACCGCGCTCGTTTTTATCCG